TTAGGCATATAGTACGTGGCATATGATAAATTCGCCGTGCAGCAGCACCCGAGGCGCTTCCGCTCCGATCGCTTCGGATGCACGCCAACACAATACGCGATTTATTTTTATTTTCATCCACATATTTATTTATCCGTGCGGCATATTAAAAGTTGGTCCCAAACGTTGAATTTTTTCAACGAGATAATGAAAGCTGTTGACTTATACTGCTAGTTGTCGACTGAAAATAAATCAAGAACTACTTTGCAGAAATTTACTACTTCAATATATATATATTTTTTGTGGTTACTTGAAGGCTATCGGCGCTCGTAGTCATCGCAATGTAAATGCAGCTACCCACAATTTGACAGAGCATTTCAACATGAGAACTAAATTTCAATTGTACACTATAACGACTGCCTCTGCTTTCGAAATAAATAGATGTGCCGATTTAAGCCAACGAGATGTTGCCTGCGTGTTTTTAATCTCCTTACTTCCGTGGCTTTTGTAACATCGTTTCATTCATTTTTCCTTCTCTCATATATGCAAACATTGGTTTGGTGTTTTTGTTATAACAACACAACTAAACAATCATAAACATGAAAATCAGTGCCATGCTATACTTGTCTCTTGTCCACTGGTGATAGGACCTCTTGTGAGTCCGCGCGGATAGATACCCTGCCTATTTCTGCCGTGAAGCAGTAATGCGTTTCGGTTTGAAGGGTGGGGCAGCCGTTGTAACTATACTGAGACCCTTAGAACTTATATCTCAAGGTCGGTGGCGCATTTACGTTGTAGATGTCTATGGGCTCCAGTAACCACTTAACACCAGGTGGGCTGTGAGCTCGTCCACCCATCTAAGCAATAAAAAAAAAAAAACTAATCATCTCCTTACTCGTTAAAATACAATACTCAAACCCCGTAATATCATAAAATTACGTAACGTCTATTTTACGAACATCTTTGAAATTTCATTTATTCATTTAAGTATCTGAGGGCGTACTCGAGCGTTCAATTCGTTTCGGTGCCGTCGTATTAACGAAGCGTGTTCCAGGGTCTACGCAATTACAATTATCACGTTCGCCACTCTCGATGGTGTTAAATTAACATCAGAGCTCTACGGACGAATACGATGCTTATCGAACGCTACGTACATATTATATATACATCTCATTCTTTCATAATCTCTTTTTTTATTTTCAATTAATCAGTCGAAAGTAAAACAAATGCTCTAATATATACTTCGTTAATTAAAAACCATTGTCCTGTGTGCAAAATTATAAATTTTTTATCCTTTGTGTGTGAAATAGCAAAATTATCGTTATATTGTTTGTATATTGTTAAATGTTTAATTTTTTTCAATCGATATGTACTCCGCGGAGATTTTTTTCCCAAAGTGATTCTTGTCCACCTGATGGCTGTATGGAAAAGATCATTATTTAGCGATAAATTCGCCCATTGTTCCTTTTTTGTAAATTATATTTTACATTTTTATTTATTTTGTTGTACAATACAGCATAATCTCTCTCACTCTCTCTCTTTCTATTTTACCATTTAATGAAGTAACAAAAAAGTAACATTCAAGATGGAAGCCAGTACGCATGTACAAAACATATTAACATTGAAAAATGACCGAACAAAGTTTAAAAGCTTTTTTTAATGCTTCTGTTTTATGAATGTGTTAAAAATATGCAATACGTGTATTTGTTTTGTTATTTTATTTTCATCTCAGTATGTAGGTGCGATCCAATACTTCAATTCACCGTCATCATTTTTTTTGTTGAATGTATGCTCACGTTCGTAACAAACTCCTCCTTGATCGTTTCGGGAAACTCTTATTATTTTATTTTTCCTCTTTGTCGCATTAATGTCAGCGTGTAGATGCTATCAGCCTTCCTCGGTAGATCAAATGTACGCCTCGCTTTTTGAGCTGCGAAGGCGTAAAATTGAGTTGTACGCTAAAATAGAACACTCCGGGGAGAAGTTGCTCATCTGTCATCATTTTTCTTATGTAAGCAGTCGTTTCGGTAGTTTTATTACGATACTACATTACTAGAGGACGATGGTATAATGTTGTTTGAGATTTTGTTAATTACATTGATATTTATGTTACATTTAGCAAAAAAAAATTAATACAACATATTTATAAATTCTCACATACACAAATTTCATAATTCAAATATTTCGTGGTAGCACTGAGCATAAAATTATTTTGTCACTATCTTTTCAAGAACTTAAACTTAATATTTTTTTATTGTTATGATGAGTGAATGAGCTCACGGCCTATCTGGTATTCAGTGGTTCCCGGAGCCTATAAACGTCAACAACCCACCTTCGGACAAGTTCTAAGTATCCGTATCTTCATATTTACAGTACAACGGATAGCAGCAGAAATAGATAGGGTGGTATTACCTACTAGTACGAGCTCACACGGTGCCTTATCACCAGTAAAAATATTTTATGCTGTAATACATATGTTGATATTTTATGTAGCTTCCAGTACAGATTGTTAAAATATTTACCAAAATTACTAAGCATTTTAATACTACTACTTTGTAAAAATACTTATCTATATTATATAATTTAATACTTATCTATATTACATATAATAATGATCCAGTCTAGACGAAGCGTTATTTAAAACGCCTGGACCGATAACTTATTTTCACTGGGTTCATAAAAGTTTGTGAGAATATTTTTTTAAAAAACGTATGCCTAATTATTCACTATAGTCACAGCTGAGCGTGTTTTTTTGTAGCTATGAACAAACTTGTACACAATTGTACATGAAGATGCACAATGCATTGAATATTGAAATAGTCTCTATTTTCCAAAACACAATAAATAAATAACTTCCACGAAAAACTCTTATCTCACAAACAAAACACTAGTCCCAGTGCTGTTGGAAAAAATACGCTCCCGCCGTAACGGGCGAGTATGGAACATAACTCAATACGGAAGCGTAGGGATTCGGAAGCAACGGAGTGTAAAATGGTCGACATGAAGAGGTATTTCAAACTGACCGGATGCCACGACTTGATTCAGGCTAATATATGATCACTGACAACCGAAAATAGTAACTTTCTATATGGGTATAACCGAACCGTTTACGAGTGCTGCTTGTTTTTTATTTATAATAGGTACAAAATCGAGTATAGAGTGAGATAAGCTGACAAAGAGGTCGACGTGCAACCTAACCCATGCATCAGCCCGCTGAGTTTCTCGCCGGATCTTCTCAGCGGGTCGCGATTCCGATCCGGTAGTAGATGAATCGCGAAGCAATTGCTCTTGAGCTGTTAGGTCTTCGGAGGCGCTCGGGCAGCTCTTAGCAAATCCCACCCCTCCCGGCTGAGTCTTTGCTCGCCCACCTGTCCTGGTGAAACTGTAAAAGCCTCTGGGCCACCAGTAATATTTCAATCATAAAAAAAATATAAGCTGCTGATTGAGTATTTAGAAAAACTACTCTCCTTTTTGCACGGGCGTTTAGTCTCTTACGGTTTCGCACAATACGAGACTTTTTAGGAACGTTTCTAGCGTGTTATTGGGCGATTGGTTGCCTGTGCTAGAAAATACTATCTGTGAATTGAAAATATTTCAATAAAAACCATTTTATAGTTACCACTCAAGTTTACTTTATCCAGTGTAAATTTTGAGAAGATTCGTAAGCCTTTAGTTTCCTATTTATTGACGGATAGGACGGCTTTACTTTACTAGAAGTTGAATTATCTGTAAACATTAAATACGTAACATAGACTAGATAAATCCACCTTCTTTAATCTAAACTCCAAGATGTAATATTTATATTAAAATGTTTAATAATAATAATAAGGTTAACCAAACGATCTTGATACTAGGAAAAGACAATTATTGATAACAATAAATCTCGTCGATAGCCACTAAACAAAAAATATCGGTTTATAAAAAATCCTATTTATATGACCGACTCCTATTTATATCTAAGGCCTATTTGTAGATGGTTCATATTATGTATGTCTTACATTACATACATATATTACATAATGAATCCCTGTCGACCAGTTATAAAACAAAAACATTAGCAAAATTTACTATGATAGAAAATATTACTTTTCGAGTTAGAAAAATAATATATAAGCTAGTCGAAAACTAACAGAGAAATTTGCTTTTGAAAAAAAAAAAAAAGAATTCGTTTCATCGTCTACAAAAACTTGAGAATCATAAAATTTATTAAAGGATTCTTTTCAAATATTTCTGAAATGTAAAAATACCTTAGTATAGATTTTTCTTGAAAAGAAAATTCTCGTGCGTTCGGGCGGAAAATAGTCGACATAAAGGTCGAACATATTGGCAGTGACCATGAAGCTGAGGTAAAATATAGAGCAGAATCTTCACACAACACTAGTTTATAAATTAGTATTATATTAATATATCGTATGTACTCAATAACTCTTCTTCAAGAAGTGATCTAAAATAAGTTTTTAATTCTACAATAGTAACTCCAAACACTATGATTTCGAAATAATTTTCTTCTCTCTAAGGCCTTCGGTTTTACGTTGGCATAATTTAAATCAATGCCTCAAAGCCACAGTTTTTATAAAAAAATAAAATATTAAAATCGGTTTTTTCCTGCCAGACACCGCTTGAAAGTAAATCTTGCATAAATAAAGTTCGCAACAAGATGTCGTTGGCGTCGTCGGCGGCCGACGGTGTTGCTAGCAATTAATCTCCATTTCCCGCACGCGCCAAATCGCACCGCCATTATAGCTGGCTGTTTTATTTCATTAAATGGACCCATCGAATTAATGGACTGCACCTCTACGGACACAATGATGCGGTTAATAGGAATTTTTTGAACATTAATTTATTGAAATTTGTTAACTCATTTGGACTGTTATATAGCATTACAAGAAGCTTTCAATCGTCAATTGTTTGTCTTAAAATATTAGAGCTAATCAGTTGAAAAAAATATACAATACATATTTAGTCACTATTAGTGTCGGTTAACAAAATGATAATGACTAATAATGAATAATTTGTTGCAGGTGCGGACGTTGTTCGTGAGTGGTTTGCCCATGGATGCGAAGCCACGCGAGCTGTATCTACTGTTTCGAGCATATGAGGTACAAATTCATTACGTGTCAATAAATCTCGTTATCCAAGCAAGAAAGCAAGCAAGAATGTCCTCATCTTACAGTTGTCCCAATTAATGGTTTCGATGCCCTACACTAAAATTCAAATATTGATTCAATTGAAAGCATTCCATGTAGTTTCTTAAGGAAAAATAAACGGGATTACCACAGACCGCTGAATGAGAAAAAGCAGTAGTAATTTAAGGTCACCTGGCTTACTGTTATTAGTCAAATAAAACACATTAATGGACTCTTCAGGACTTCTTCCATTATCAGGATATTATGATGATAAAATTTCCCCGTTATTAATTAGAATTTAAGTGTTCGCGTGGTGTTCGGTGTGGTTCCTCGAATTATCTCCACTACTTCTTCATATAGTTCACACATTTACAATCGAATCTTTACCTTCCTGTCCCATCTAACTCCTGATTTCTATCTTGAACTGTTCGTATGGCATGTCATTTTCCCGTATGGATTCATATCACAGTTCTTTCTATATTTATGCCGTCGATCTAATGTCTCAAGGTTGGTAGCGACATTACGATATATTTGAGCTCCGCATAGGGTAGGCTGTGAAGTCATTTGCCTAAAGAAAAACTAAACTCATCGAACTCCCCCCAAATTGGTAATAATTTTGAAATTAAACGTGACGTTTGATTTTTACTACTAATACGTTACGCGAATGCTCGGATAATATTGAATTATAGATAATATCACGACAGTTCCGTCACGCAAAACAAGTAGGAGATCGATTCAGATTACACAGCGCCGTAAATATCAAATGTCATTCCCCGAGTCGTAATATTCGGATTGAATCGATTCTGTCTGCCGATAAGGGGGATTACACTCGAACCTCGACTGGCACCGACGGCACCGCAAACATAAAGGTTCCTCAACTTAAAGCGAGGGTTAGTTTTACTTTACGAACGTATCGCGTGATCCCGGCCGTGTCTGGTACCGACTATTTTTTTTTAAGTAAAAAACAACATTATTTTTCGAAAAACATGAATGACGATAGTGTAATAGGTTACGTTGTCTGCGCCCCGCGAGTTTCGCATAAGTTTTAAGCGGTTGTTTAGATAATGAAGTTTTTATTTTTTATTGCTTAGATGGGTGAGCGAGCTCACAGCCCACCTGGTGTTGAGTGGTTACTGGAGCCCATAGAGATCTACAACGTAAATGCGCCGCCCACCTTGAGATATCAGTTCTAAGGTCTCAGTATAGTTACAACGGCTACCCCATCCTTCAAGCCGAAACGTATTACTGCTTCACGGCAGAAATAGGCGACTAGGTGGTGGTACCTACCCGTGCGGACTCACAAGAGGTCCTACCACCAGTAAGAAGTTAAATAATCATGCTGATTTTGTTTGTACAGGGCTACGAAGGTTCCCTTCTGAAGGTTACAAGTAAGAACGGGAAGACGGCTTCGGTGAGTAAACGTAAATACGAAACGCGAATTATCTTGAGGGCTCATTTCAATTTACTCAATCGAACTGTTCATTTGTTTGTAGCCGGTTGGCTTCGTAACGTTCCACACTCGTGCCGGTGCCGAAGCGGCTAAGCAGGATTTACAGGTTAGTCTCGTATATAGGTTTTATTTTTAAACAATTTACACATTTCCATTGTCGATCGAAACGATCAAAACAAATCCGATCGAACGAACACTCAAAAAATACATTAAAGTCAATAAAATTAATTAAGATGGTGTATTGCAAAAACCACAGCAGTAAAACAGACAAGATGATCTTTAGAACAATAAAAAACGAACTGACAAATTATTGATCGCCTCATTACACAGAAACAGGAAGGTTTCGTCAAAATTATCGTTAATTTTGAAGCAAAAATAACCGGTTCGGCGGACCAAAATTGCTATTGTAAATACTAAAACAATATCAAACGCACAGTGTTACTAAAACCTCTTCTCGTCACATGCCTCAACACAGCCAACGAGCACTCTAGTTAATATTCTCATTGTAGACTTGAAATAACATTTTCCTGACTCGAGTAACCGCATTAAGTTATGCTAAACCCATGCACATATCAAATAGAGATCGAGGGCGTCATCAAGTCGGTATTCATAGCGGTGGATACCAGAGCGTGATCAATAACCGTACGGTGTAAATACGCAATGCATGTCACTGTTTGACAGGTTTTGATGTCACATCCCAAGCACAGTGTTCCGTCACATTAGCAGGGGCAGTCGCGGACCTAATTGTCGTATTTTATTAAAACCTCATCAGAATAATTCTGATTTCAATTCGAGTTAACCATTTTCACACCGAATATGATGACTAAATCATAAATTCTGTACGATGACGGATAAAGTCTAATACAAAAAAAAATGCCGTATTCATTCGCGTTAATGACCGCCGCCCCTGAAGTTGTCAAGCCTCACACGGGAGGCCGCGGCAAGAGAGAGCCCTTCCGTCATTATATATGAGCGCCGCACCGCTCGCGGCTGTTCACAGCAGGGCGTCCGGTTCGACCCCGACATGCCGCAAACGATTCGGTTGGAGTTCGCTAAAAGCAACACGAAGGTCAGCAAGCCCAAGCCGGCAGTTGCCACAGCCGCGCCAGCCGCACACCCCGCATTGATGCACCCACTCACTGGACGTAAGTACCGCCGAACGCACACACTGCCCGGAGCTAAAGCTCGAACGCCCTACACCCGTGCCGTAATCGGATACACCAATATAAATAGCACGAACTCTGTTACCCTTACACTGAAACGCTCCTATATCTCGCACTCGGTGCCCGATTGGTAGTATTCAAAACATGAGCGAGTAGTAGTCGGGTGTGACGGCGACACGAGACAAAGCAAAAGGCAAAGTATCTGTGATCGCTTACACGAACCACGCCAAGCCTAGCTCCGCGATAATACTACTATCCATATTGATCTGTCGGGTTCTTTGCCGCAACATTTATCGATATTACATCACAATTGTGTTCACGACTAACGTCTTTGAAAAATAGAACGTTCTCGTTTTAGTAATGAGGGGATATTTTAAAGGAACGGTAATGTAATAAACGTTAATCTATTTAAAAACTATGTAAATAATAATTGAGAATCACAGTATATATGGAACATGCATAATTCAAATTAAATGTTGATTCTGGTGATATTGGTGTTTCCAAAAAAAACATTGTTATTATGCGTGTCACAGATTTAGCGAGTCCGTTTTTCCCTGGCGGTGGAGCTGAGCTGTGGCACCACCCGCTGGCGTATGGCGGTGAGCTGCCCGGACTCTCGCACGGCCTCGTGCATCCCGCCATCCACCCACAGATGGCGCCCGTGCGTTCCTACCTCTGACTAGCTGCCGCCGATAGGCCACACCACGTAAGAATTTTATAAATAAACTAGCTGTAACCGTCCGCTTCGCTGGCCATTTAAAATTAACATTCTTATTTATTGTCATTATTATTAGGGAGGCCAACATTCATATAAATATTAGCACATCCATTAAGTACATGTATTTTCTAGATGGATACCATGTTTCAAGTAAATCGGATGCATGGTTCAGTAGGTAGTTATAACGGAACATCCGTAAAAACCACTGTAGATTTATATATTTACTAGCTGTACCCGCCCGCTTCGCTGACCGTTTAAAATTAACATTATTATCTCAAAGATTCTCATCATTAACGCCCGCAATTGGTGTAGGGAGTCCAACACTCAAATAAATATTAGCCTATCCATTAAGTACATGTATTTTCTACATGGATACCAAGTTTCAATTCAATTGGATGCATGGTTCAGTAATTATAACTGAACATCCGTAAAAACCTAGGTCAGTAAGTATCGGCATCATTGCGCCAGTTTGAGAAGGCGGCACGACATGAGAACCCTCTTGTCGTGACCACTGGAAACTACATACCCGATCCTGTAAACCGAATAGTAAACAATCGATGTCGCCCAAAACACGTCATTACGGATCCTCCCGATCCATTTTGATATAGATTTTGAATAAAGAATGCCATACATATCACAATTACTCCCAAACTATAATGTCAGCCACGTCAAAGTTTACCTTAGTTTTGTCAAAAATGTAAAATACCAGATATGCGTAATTCGTTCAGGCACGTGCTACTTTTGGAATTCAAACATGAGTCACTCCGTTTCTGTTGTGACATATTATGTTAAAAAAATGAGTTTGTTCTGAAAATTAAGTTTATTGGGGGAATGTCAATGAACCCCGTCCTTGGCGCACATCTGTGATACCAAAGGATTATTTGCCCCATATTTCAAATTTCTAGGGCTTAAATCAAAAGCTCTTCAATCTATCGGTCAGTCACGATACAGACGACTTTGTTCTTCTTTGTAAATTTAATTGTCTCTTCTTTGTAAATGTAGTTTTAGTTCAATGTACTACATTCAAATTATACCATGAAACGGCAATTGTGACATTTATAAAAAATAAATAAAGCAGTTTTTCACACACGCTTCATCTTCATTGATCTACAGCAATAAAGTGCAAAAAATATTATATCTCATTTTATATGTATTGCGATTGTTTTTTCACGTTGTTTAATTTTCTAGCATCAACGATCAAACTCTGATGATGATAGTAAAACTGTTATAAAAAGAAAAATAAACAAATTTTAACATAGCCTAGTCTAGCAGCTCAATATTTTGGCTTTTTACCGACTTTCAAACTTTAGCTTCAAAATCATTAAAATTCCGAATCTGTTCCTGAATATTTATTACGAAACGTCGCACAACCAAAACTATCTCTTCTTACAAGTAAAACGTATTAAATCAAATCAAATGAAATAGCCTAGGTGCTCCTGATTTTGACTACTTAATGGACTAAGACTATTTTTTTTTCATTATTCATTTATCCAATATCAGCTAATGGAAAATATTTTCAGAAGATCTGCTTACCCTTTTTGGTATTCTAATTTATGTAGTTGCAAAACTTTTGGAACGAAGTTCCTTATGGGACGATGCGGAGGGGTACCCTAACCGGGAAAAAACGTCCGTAACGTAAGATTTTTATTAGTAATGCACACGGTGTACGACTTAACTTTGTAATAACGTACAAAAAATAACATATTTTTTATCATTCAATTACCACGATCTCAGAGCGTTCGTTTGCGCAATACATTAACTCTTATGCAAACAACCGTGAATGAAGTGTACCACAATAAGTTCGCACGTTACCGAATAACCGTGGGTTGTTGCGAAACCTCCAGTTTTATTTTCGTTATATCTCGAATAGAACTTAAAATTAATATTTTTATAATAAGGAACTTCGTTCCTATCCGGTGGCCCTACGACACCACACAGCTTTTTGTGCCAAATTTATATGTAATAAGATGTTATATATTACTAAATAAGTTTTGGTCATGTAAGCAGTATGTCCAGAGCCCGTTGACGCTGGGCGCGTGCGTGTTGCCGGCGCCGGCGCTGGGCTCGCCGGGCGCGCACCCCGCGCCCCCCGCGCACCCTGGCCACCCCGGACATCCCGCACACCCCGCGCACTCCGCGCCTCCCTGCTCTACGCTATTCGTGGCCAACTTAGGCCAATTCGTCTCCGAGCATGAATTAAAAGAGATATTCAACAGGTACGAAAATTAAAGTCAACTGTGTGCTTCAAAGTTTTGACTGGAAATATTTTTCTCTACACGTGTCGATCCCGTGATCTGCTAGACAGATCCAAACGATGAACAAAAATAATTTAGGAAAATTTTGTAAAGCTCGACTGTTCTAAAAAAGAAAACAGCTATAAAATGAGAAGCTATAAAGGAGCTTCCATTTCAGTCTCATTTCCAATCGAAATTTTTAATATTATGCATGCTCACACAAATATATGGCATTGAAATGACACACTTAATTCTATAATTGAAACAAAAGTTCAATTTAAAAAAAATCTAACTTTCACAGTGCATGTCACACCGAAAGTCACAATGTTGCCCACGTTCGACTTCTCCGGTCATACATTTGTAAATTTTATAAAACATGTAACGTCTCACACAAACTCGTTTGATACATTCGATAAGTTTATCTGTAATTTGAGATGCGGAATATATCATATCAAACCGTTTGTGTGAGGAGAAACAGCCTGCACCCGTACCACCTTTAGCATGTAAACATTCACTATATAACACTTGCCACGAATAGTCCGTACGAGCACAATCACACCACACATATAAAAAGTCGAAACTTATTTGTTGTAATCGTGTCGCTTACGTAAATTATTATAGGCACGACTTTAAATTAGAGTAAAAGTGAATTCGTCGTGATATTTGCGAAGCATTAGACGCCTGATCAGAGTTAAGTTGATACGGTAGGATCGACTTCACAGTTCCAATATACACTTCTGAATCCAAGTTTTATTTTTTATTGCTTTGATGGGTGGACGAGCTCACATCCCACCTAGTGTTAAGTGGTTACTGAAGCCCATAGACATCCACAACGTAAATGCGAGCCCATCTTGAGATATAAGTTCTAAGGTCTCAAGAATAGTTACAATAGCTGCCCCACCCTGCAAACCGAAACGCATTACTGCTTCACGGCAGAAATAGGCAGGGTGGCGGTACCCACCCGCGCGGACTCACAAGAGGTCCTACCACCAGTGCAAACAGTCAAAAAAAGGTCACAACAAGCAAAAAAGTCATACACTGCATTATGTGGGTACGAGTGCGGGCGCAATAGTATATGATGGTACAGCTGCCCGGGGTTTACGCGGCTGCGTCTGCTGACGGGCGGCGGCGGCGGCGCCACTGCCGGCCCGGTGGCTTTCGTGGACTTCGCTAGTCCGCCGGACGCGGCCGCCGCCCTGGCTCGCCTCCAAGGCGCTCTGCTACTCAGCTCCGAGGGGGCTATACACCTCGAATTCGCCAGGCATAAGATGGCACACAACGGCTGGATTCTCGCACATGAAGTATGAATGCGTGTAACGCTTACAGTGAGAATTCGGATATTGCAACATTAATTTCGTATTCTACTCAATCGGTACCATTCCTTTGTCTTTCATATTAAAACGTTATTTGTCGACGTTAACTACTGGGAGGTGAATAGTTAATTTATTGTTGCATCTTATTCAGTGATGACGGACTAGACGATCCGATATCTGCATTCTCTATAATGAAAGTTGCACTATCCTTTAAATAAAATAGTATTCACAACATAAATTAGTCACTATAAAATAATGTAATATAAAGAACTTGAAAGAAAAAACAAATAATTCCAATCCATGTGAGTGCTATTTTGTTTACAAGAAAACGACATTTCCTTGTTGCAATCAAAAACTAATTCACCATGCACCTCGCACTACTAGTTACTGCTTCTTCTGTCTCTAGTGCATCAATTAATTATATCAATGTGAAACTATTAAATCTCGCCTGAGTTTTAATAAATCAGATGCCTCGCTATACGTAAATTAAATGGTGTGCCTGAGTATATAAATTTTAGATAACTTGAAACACAACAACCTTGGGGATTCTTGTTTAATGAAAAGATTGCGTGTCAGCAGGGAGCCAAAGGCGGAGAAGAGGGCGAACAGCATTAATTCGTTCGTGGCTCTCGGCACTTGACAACCAGCGAACTGAGGGCGCTATCTTGATCCTCTGAATCGCATCGAAACGACAGGAGACGGAGCGACCAACAACTATTGCACCATATGTCGACAATGCAACTAACGGATCAAGATTCACGACTCTGCGGCGACACTATAATCCATACATTTACTGAGAGCTCTGTCTCCGTTTTTTTTTTTTCATTTAAATACAGTGTCAAGGGTGTGGTGTTACTTTTATACCAAATGTAGAATATTTTTAATTTTTATTAACATTCCAGATTCATTGATGAAGTATTTAAATTTATTGATTTTCTATAATAATGAAACATGTTTACTTATTTAATATTATATTCATTTTATCGTGTAAAATAAGATTTATTTACAATTTATTGTATGGTAAAATTTGTATATTTGTTTTACAAGGCCGATGTATACAATTGAGAGGATTTGTTATGAATATAGTGTATTATCAGAAATGAAACATTTTAGGATATAACACATTCGAATAAGCTATAAACCAAAGGTGCCCTTCATAGAAAGATTACGTTTTGTTAAATAATATTTCAAGTTTAATAATTTAAACAACGTTGTAATTATTATGATACTTTTGTTTAGCCTCAACGGTGTTAGCCCTATTTAAATGAATTTCAATACTATTTCAAATTATATTTATCTAATTTCTTAGTAATTTTTTATAAAGTTCAATCACTCGTTAAAGCGCTGGCACTCTAGTGTTGGTCTTTATTTGTGTCTGTTAGAGGTGTGCTATACAAGACGAGTGCTTGTAGCGGTAAGCGGTAATACCACGGGCCCCCAGTGCCGCTCGGGAGTGCAATGCTTCGCTGAATTGATCGCGGACTCGCATCCTGCCTCACGAATACCTTCGCTAGTTTTACCCGACTTCTTTAGGTGTCACACCAAAATTTCTTGTGCCTTGAAAGTTGATCCTAAATTTTTCGATACTATTCCAAAATTGTGATCGCCTTTATTATATTATTGTGTGTTATCGGTTCGGGCATATTCCTTAGGCCGTTCTTCGTGAATGCGTCCCCACAGACTCGACGTTGCTGTGTGATGCGACACCAGCGAGACCGGTTCAGTCTTGTTGCGAGAATTTAGCCTTGGCCTTATCAATGTTAATAATTTAATGTAATCATCGTATTGTAATTAATTAATAGTTAGTAATTTATACGACGGCTCGCGCGTCGACGCTGAATAGTGAAACAAATATTCTACTATCTGCATGCTTTGACGAGCTTTTTGGTAATAATCTAATTTAATAATTTAGTAGCTACTACTTCTATTGTGTAATCGTTAGTGATTATTGTAATGTTAGGTAAGGGTATTTATTGTAGATGATCAGCCTAGTTGCAATACATACATACTTATTTAATAAAAGTTATTCAAACGATTTAGCGAAACAATGTAATGAAGTTTTTTAATCTACTAAAGTTTTAGGATAATTCAGATGGATTTTAATATATTTTTTATTTTTAACTAGTTGACTATCGCATACTGTATAGTTAGTTACCTATTTGTTGTTGAGAAGTAACGACGTTGTAAGTACAGAACAGTTTGAAATAGCAATAAACCAAAAAAGAAATCTTAAAATAATCGTAGGAATCTTAGTGACGTATTCTGCTGAAGTAAACATTAAAAATTTTACAAAAAAAAATACTAAAAAAAAAAAACCCTGCTTAGGCTAATGATAGGTAATTTCGGATATATTTGGGTTATTATCTTGACGCGACCGATAAAATGAGGTACCAGAGATACCGCATGTGAATTCTTATGAAAAATCTCTTAGTCAATATTAAATAGAAATTTCGTCAATTTTTTGACTTAGCAAAATTTTATATGTGTTTATAGAGATTATAACTTTCAGATTGTACCGAGCCTCGTGGCGTTTAGACCAAAGAATTAAAGATATACTTACTACTTACATTATAAATGCCTCAGACCGCACCAAACTTTGTTATAATTTTGTCAACGGATTTACTTGCTATGATGGTTAAAGTTGTGATTTTAAATAACTAATTTAACTTTTATTCAGAAGTTTAACTAAACCTATTGTTTTAAATGAAAAGCACCTTGTTATGATATCATTAGCAATATTAACTTTTTAAAACTTCTTTTTTATTAAATCGAATTTATCGAAATTATCATATTCTCTTATATATCCGCAAATCACTGTCTGTTTTAATGTTAAGCTAAGTCAATGTTTACATAATTAAATTTGGTATAACGCTAATTCGTATGTAAGTAAATATATATTAAATAAAGTAGTAGTGATCTCCCACACCTTCGGCGTGCGGCGTTCTCGATCTCTCATAATATATAAAAACAACGAAAACATTTCTGTTGATTTTCAATTATCAGTAGGTGGTTTTAGTACATTGAATTAATAAAATATAATTGCTTCTTTAAAAGAATATAAAAAAATTACACAACAGTAACTGTAGCTTCTAGCTCTGCCATCAAATTACTAGCGTTTTTTTTAAATCACGAAAATTTTATACTACGCCATTTTCTCGTTTACTATACAGTAAAATGGCGTCAAACAAAATGGCGATGAAAAGCAAAGGGCGCGAGAACGCCGCCGCCGCCATGATTCCGTCCAACAACCGTAGATAGCGAGTAAGAGACGTCCAGTGGCTGAGGACACGGCTACGTCACCTTTTGCGGGACTACTCGATACATATCATCGTGTAATATTTAATGTGTAATTTTAAAAGAGCGGTTTCATAGAGACGTTTATTCTGTATTCTCGTCTATTAATTATTATAATGCATTCGGCTGTATGTCACGCTATATATCCATAATTTATATTTCAACGTTCTTTCTATAATTTTTGCTGTGTATCAAACGTTCCCTCGTTATTTACATTCTCAGCTTGGTATTTGTTTAATTGCGCGTGTGCGAGAACGATCGCTAACAATAGCCACGAAACGGATATTTTCATAACATTTACTATGAAGCCGAGTGGGATGGTTCGGAATGTCGTCGAATGTAGTCGAATGTAGACGCGTGACATTGGCCCGCATGTGATAGGGTAGTGCGTAGGGCTGTAGCGACGCCTTGCAAGTTAGGTTAAGTGAAGCGGTATCACACAAACACCGTGCATCGGAAACATATCAATTCTGTGCCCCTTAATAAATTAGTTAAATTACTATTTCTAAGAGATACAATATGAATAGAGATAATGAAACAAAATAATCGTTTGGAGTATCAAATACCTGCTAAGTGTTATTTTCGTTCGGTAATACGGATAAATGTTTGCCGATTAGAATATATTTGAATGTGGTTCAAAATGCATCATAGTACCCCGAGTAGCGTCGCGCAAGTTTCCACTTTTTTCACGGCTATAGATAATGTCGTATTTTTATTTTCTATTTTATTTTTTCATTCTTCGAAATATTATGGCTTAATTACCAAATTATGTTTAACAATTCGCTTAGGATTCAGTATTAAAATGACATTGTTTTTATTGTTCTGCGACAAATTAGTAAGTTGCTGTAAACTTATTTGTATATCGAGCAAAGTAAATCATACAAAATATGTAGTTAGTAATTAATTGTTAGATTTGTGTGACTTGAATTATTGAAATGCTTTTAGAGCAAACATAATGTGTTATTGTGGTTTAAGAGAAACATAATGACATTGTAAACATAGTGATAAATTTAGCTTAATTATTACAACTTTTATAGATGTTCGTTCATTTTCTTTTTCTAACTTCATGAAGTATAGTGGCATGGAGACGTCATTGTTAATTCAAATAAATTTGAGCTCATCCTCAATGGAAGTTTTTATTTGTAAACCCTTTCTACTGCATACATTTATTTAAGAAAAGTCTCCACACATTACTGTCAAAGAGTCGAGGAAGTGAAGTTTATACAAGTTTTACAAAAAAACATTCATTCCCAGAATTTTCAATTCTACTGAACTTTATTGGGTAAATGGGATGTCCCTTGTTAAAATGTTATAGTTATTAATAAATAGGTATGTAGTTTAGATTCAATTTAGTAAGTTTAAAAATAATAATTGACAGTTCAGCTTTCCTGCTTTGTAGACTTTGCCTTACGTATATTTATGTAAAACGAATTCGTAAAAACTTAAATTTTGATGAAAAATAAATTATTTCAAACAATTTTTTGGACAATAAAATTTTCAATTTGAAGGCAAAAATATTTGTTTTGTTTAGTTTTGTATACAATATTTTTGTTTTTTAATATTATTAATCTAGTTTTACATACAGTACGTAAATAAAACTACTGAAATTTCATAATTATTTTAAATTAATCATTAATTTTAATGCAGTGTTGTAAAATGTTATTAGTGTTAATGCATTATAGGGTCCAAAGATTGGAATAAACGTGTAATATGTAAAATTTTCTTGTTCATTTATTCCTTTGAACATTGCAATTATACTGAAACCCGCTGAGACTTTGACACTACACAAACACTACACACGGCTGTTCCTTTCATAAGAAAAAAGATAAATAACTTCAAAGAAAACGTCGGATATTTTTGGAGACTGTCCTTCAAATTTGATGAAACTACTTGGAATTTCATAAGCAAATGTAGTTAAATGTGTACTCGTAAGTATTCGTAGTATTTTTCCAACACACAATGATACTATCTTACCTATTAAATCTAATATAAGAAAATAAAGAAGTAAAGAAATAAATTTGTTAGGCACGGACACCTGGCCACCTGGTCTTAAGTAATAATCTGAGCACATTATAATCAATCCACAGACATTCAGAACTAGACCTAGGCCTTCCCTTAGGTTCGCCATAAGAGCTGGTCACTGGAAGCTGGCCACAGCGCATTACGCGACCTTCGGCCGGCCATCGATCGACCGCGTGGGAAACCTTCCCACGCTCTGCCTTCCGCTGCGAGGTTGCTACTTGAGAATTTTTAGCCACAGCCGTCATTTGTACTATGGAGTTCAACCTACTAACTACTACTTAGCCTCACAATCTTTCAGGCTATATTGGTTACCACGGACTTCCCAGAGAAACTTCGGGCACAGGTCTCTCCAGTAGTTTTAAAGAACATTATGCCAAAAAAATCGTACTAAATCTACAGAATTCAACAACAACAAAATTTTCAATAAATCAAATATCGGCCAAATAGCTGCTTGTGAAGTATCTAAGAAGAAATAGAATAGAATCCTAACCTAACGGCGTTTTACGCTTAGTATACACTTGTTAAACGATGCAACTATGGTCATAACTAATTACTGTTTCGCGATACAAATAGGAAGAGTCACCGGTCATCGTCCTCGTCGAACCCGTCGCCTGCGACGGAGGGCTCGACGAGCGAATTAACCCATAGATAAAGCCCACTGAGTTTCTCGTCGGATCTTCTCAGTAGGTCGCGGTTCCGACCGTTCCAGTGTTAGCAACACTCCGGCTTGAGCCCCGTGACCTCACCTACACGTTAGGATGAAGCTGAAATAGCCTCTGAGGCCTATCAGCATAGGTACGAAAAAACAAAATAAAGGTAGGGTCGTGGTACCTACACCCCCATTAATCACGCAAATTATCTTATTATAGGTTTGATTATTACATGATGTTACGCGAAAGTTACATAATCGTGGAAGTGATTCGAGAACACGTGTTAAGTACCTATATCATTAGAGAAAATATTGGCATCTCGATACGAATCCACAGGGCATTTTATCCCTTAGGCCACGAAGACTGTGAAGATTGAACTCAGTCAGATGAATAGTTTAGGAACCTAATAGCAAACAAATATACAAAGACACATGTTATTATGTTTCTATTGAAATAGAAGATTAGTTAAACCCGTTCTGTGGTTATCACTAGTTACATCGACAGGAACTTTCTCCGGAATGCTAACAACGACTGTATCACGTTTCATCACAATCAGTCGAACGGCTTGGAAACTCACAGATGGCGAACATACAAACATTATTTTTTATTTGTTTAGCTGAGAAGATTTAGGTCTGATGGGTGGAATAAATGGAAGCGACCGTACTAGAAGTGCAGCCTGGGTACACAAATAATACCCTAGAGCTGTCAACCCTGATGGACTACAGTTCACCTGGGAGGCAGCTTTACCAATTTAACCAATTACGAACACCAGCCTAAATAGAAACCAAATCACGCAAATTTCTCTTCCAATTCCTCAATAAGCAATTTAGAAAATTTGAAGAAAAAAAAAGTTAAAATAGTAGTTTACGTTCCTCAGTTTCTTTTAATATTACCAATATAACCGTTTTTAACGTTACCCCAGCGATTGAAAGAAACCGAATAAAATTTTAGTCTACTTTTCTCGTATTCATAACTAAACGCTGATCAAATTTATAAACTGATCATAGATTATACACTTAATTTTAGAAAGTGATGCTAGTTAAAACGTCAAATTGATGACAATGAGTCATAGAAGTTTTATGATGTCTTTATATGAAAACTGTTATTTGTATCGATCAAACTCAATTTAAAGTAGCCAGGATTGTTCTCGATACTATTAAAAAGAATATGCAGCGACAACTCTAATACGACATACATATAATTTTAAAATATTTATTTCACAGCTTTACTAAAGGTAGCTTAAAGTCCAGAGAGCCTACTGACTTTGTTAATAAACGTGCTATAATCTAAAATCTATTGCTATATTTCGAGGTGCGGTGGCTGTTTTAGGAAAAATTAAATTTAGAGCAAATCGCGTGAATCACGCTTACGGCATCTTCAAAATAAGTTTACATATTTCCGACATACATTCAAATATCGACAACAATCGAACAATCTGTCCATCGAGCAACTTAGCCTTAATCGCTTACCTCGAACCCTGTCACGCCTTTTGCATCAACATTCAGCTTTAAGCATGATTAAAAGAAAGAAAAATCGATCGATGTAGGCCAAAACCTTTTTCTAACTACATGAAGTATAGTGGCATAGAGACGTCATTGTTAATTCAAATAAATTTGAGCTCATCCTCAATGGAAGTTTTTATTTGTAAACCCTTTCTACTACATACATTTATTTAAGAAAAGTCTCCACACGCGTTTCGCGGTAGGCAGCGGCTTGGCTCTGCCCCTGGCATTGCTGAAGTCCATGGGCGACGGTAACCACTCACCATCAGGTGGGCCGTATGCTTAAAAGAAAAATTGTAGGCCAAAATCAATCAACTGCAGCACGTTTTAAGATATACAGTACGATTTAAACATAATGTTAATGTTGAAATAAACAATTCTTATTAAAATCTGGAAGTATCTGATGTAATTTAACGAACTTTCATTCGACCAATAAAATTGGTAAATAAACATAAATCACTTAGGTAAATACGAGCTAGTTATCATTTGGCATCTGCACAGAATGTTTAGAATTTGTCTGTTTGCAATCTGTGTAATGGTTTTGGACACACCATAAATCGAGGATTACACACTATCGAATCTAGATCAACGTTATTTCAGATTAAACTATGACAACACACATCTACTGTAGGATGATGTTTATACATTTATTTCAACCTTCTTGTTTTCTTGTGTATTTTCTTCGTACCGTGGACACTACTAATTAAAACTTAATTACTAATTAAAACTACTTTTATGGTTGAATCTCCCGTTTTTATTGTCATTATCTTATTGCTGACGTTACAAATAGCTCACAGTTCGTGGTTACGAACAACTAACTTCACTACATAGTATAAAACAAAGTCGCTTTCTCTGTCCCTATATCTGTCTATCCCTATGTATGCTTAAATCTTTAAAACTACGCAACAGATTTTGATGCGGTTTTTTTAATAGATAAAGTGATTGAAGAGGAAGGTTTATATGTATAACAACATCAATTAAATAGTGGAGAAATCAATAATAAATTACAGTTTCCCAAGCGAAGCGAGGGCGGGTCGCTAGTTTCTTAATAAAGTATTACAGTAATTTTAAAATGATAATTCAAGAGCTTTAACATCATTAGGTTAAATCGTTTCAATTACTTTTATAGGAGAATTTCTTTAGAAACATATCTTCCTCTTCGGGTCGTATTCTTCAATTTAAGGATCGTAACCACGCTTCTGTACCCCTTTCTCTTGTACGATCTTCCTCCGTATCTTATATCGCAGTTCCATATAAATAGTGACAATTAGAATAATGTTTGCATTGTCTTTAACGATGACAAAAGATTAGCCAAATACATATTGATGATATAGTCGTGGCCTAACGTATAAAACGTCCGGTGCATTCGTGTTCAGCGATGCACCGGTGTTCGAATCTCAGGCGGGTACCAATTTTTCTAATGAAATACGTACTCAACAAATGTTCACGATTTATTTCCACGGTGAAGGAATAACATCATGTAATAAAAATGAAACCCGCAAAATGATAATTTGCGTAATTACTGGTGGTAGGACCTCTTGTGAGTCCGCGCGGGTGGGTACCACCACCTTGCCTATTTCTGCCGTGAAGCAGTAATGCGTTTTGGTTTGAAGGGCGAGACAGCCGTTGTAACTATACTTGAGACCTTAGAACTTATATCTCAAGGTGGGTGGCGCATTTACGTCGTGGATGTCTATGGGCTCTAGTAACCACTTAACACCAAGTGGGCTGTGAGCTCGTCCACCCATCTAAGCAATAAAAAACTAATAATAATAATATGGTCATTATTGTATTAAATGCACACAAATAGTAATTATAATTATTATTATAAAAGTATCTATACGGAAATTGAAGAAAAACTTTCCATTTGGAAGTATTTCCTAAAGTAAACCCTAATAAAAAATAAACAAACGCGTGACAAATTTCATGATATATGCCATCCCACGCGTCTAAATTTAATCACTTCAATACTTTATTGAAGGCCCATTATGAATCGTAACCTTTATAAGCAAACAAAGTATAAAACAAAAATGTATGCTTTTGGATAAACATTGCGCTGCTCGTCTGTATTCCGAGTGTTTATTTAGAAAATGTGGGATATTTTCGCATGTGTAAATAGAACAGTGATCCGTTAAATCGGGTATCATTCCGTCTCTTCGACACGTGAAAGACATATTCCAGATGTTTCTGAAATGTCGACACATGAAAGAGGACGTCCTCATTTCCTTTGAATAATTTCTTGGAATACTTTTATAATTGATGTGATTGATTCTTGGGATATTATCTTTAATACGATGGAATTAATTCCTCTTAAATGATAGACAAAGAGAGGTTGTTAGAAGAAATACTTTTTGAATTATTCATAAATTAGTAGATGGTGTTCAATAACACAATTACCTGATAATGTTTTGGAGAGGATTTATATTATATACATAGTTTCTTGTGTATTTCGGTACGAAAAAGGCATCCTCGCAATAAACATATGGAGAAACAAGCCATGTAAGCGAAATAAACATGAATTCCATCATTTCGTCACATTAAAAT